CAAACTTAGTTTTCAATAAATTTTATTGTGACCACTTGGAACCACTTATTGTCCAAGTCCACCTCGGGCCAAGAATAAGCGGTTATCATTGAGCGGTAGTGATGCATGACATGCCGGTCTTGATCATCACGGAAGAAGTACGGGTCGTTTGACGCAGCCGGCAGATAAACCGCAAGGTTGTAAGGTTGTAAGCCAAGTTTTTTCGCAAAATTAGCCACAACGACGTCACAGAGATGCCCAACGTTTGAGAACGAGGTGTGAGAGACTGATTTGGGTCATCTTCAATTTATGCACTAGAGCTAGCAATATTCTCGACACTACGGGCACTGCTTTGTCTCACTGGCACGTGAATATTTTGTACTGTGCCTGTGCCTAAGAATTCAAATTTTTCCACTGGACGCTCAATTTTCTGATCTCACAGAATGATTATGAAGAAATTGAACGTAACGCTTTTAAAGTTGAGGCCACTGACACCAAGTTTCTTTAGTCAATTTTAATGTTTTCGACTCGTTGTTGGATCGTATATCTTTTCATGATGATATGGCAAACCTTACTGAAGAGAAATATCAAATGAACGGGAAAAATATAAGGTAATTTGCTGTCTTTATCGGCTTACCTTTGTAGCGTCCCCATTGAAAAAGAAAACCTTATTTATACCAGTTTGTTCGATTCAGCATTATTGAAAAAATTAGCGAGAACTACTTTTGGCCGTTACTAACAAATTAAATTAATAACTTTAGAAGTTTTTTTTTACAAATTTCGCTTGAAATTGCTACAAACCCTTCAAAGACTCTACGAAATATGTTATGTATTTGCTGTTGTTGTAACTAATTTTGTTTTTCTTAATTAGAGTTGCCTAACATTGCCTATAGTATATTTCAATTATGCATATTTTCGTTTACAGACCTTTTACGATATGTCATTTTAAGTTTAATATTAATAAGTGAAATTTTATATTTTCGAAAAAAAGTGTTCAGAAAAAAATATTAATATATTTTAATTTTTAATTTTCAAAAAAAAAGTTTTTTAGTGAAAAAATTACTAAGTTTTAATTTTGTATTTTCAAAAATAAAAATGTCATTTGAAGAAAACAATACAGCTATTTAATTTTTCGTGTATGTTTTGGTTATTGAAATATTTTTTTATTATTATTATCATGCTAATAATACTTTTTGATATCCATTAATATTATTTTTAAATTGTAATTGGTATTTCTATTAATTTTTGTATCAATAATATTTATCAAACTAGCATTATTTGCACTAAAACTATTTTAATTGCAATTTTAACTGGCTTAACCATTATTGAGTATCTATTTGTGAGTTGTTAGAGAGTTGTACTGCAAAATTATTAATAGTTTATCGAACATAAGAGTTTAGTCTGTGATTCTGGCAAAGTTTTTCGTTAATATAGCTAATAAAATGGTATCAAAGTTTTGAGTAGTATAGCAAAATGTTTTTCAAGTAGTAAATATGCAAATATATTTTAATTTTTAGTTACTATTTTTGCAGAACAGTTGTATATTTTCAAATATGTACATACGAAAGTTTTATTAATTATTGTGTAGAGTGTAGAATATGTAGACTCTAGACTGAATATGTAGATGTATGTTAATTACTAAATGTGGACTAAAATGATGAAAAAATTTATCATATGCGTTAAAATATCTAAAACTGTGAAAGAAAATATATATGAAGAAAATGCTGGTGGATAATTACGGAGAGTTTTGCATTGCAGAAAATTTTTGTCAGAAATTTAGAGACTCAAATTTTCAGCTCACTTTTCTTGGTAAGAAAATCCATTTAGCATTACGGCTCTTTTCTAGTTAGAGAACGGTTGTAAGAAAATCCGTGAAACATTACAGTCCTTTCCTAGTTAGAGAAATGTTGGCCCCGACCGATATTTTCTCAGAAACTTAGATACTCAAACTTTCATCTAACTTTTCTGGCCAAGAAAATCCATAAAGTATTACGGCACACGGTACTTTTCTGATTAGAGAGGTGAGTGATGACAAATATTTGTGAAACATCTACTTAAATATATGTTTTACGAATTATTTTGTAGAGAAATAGACACCGAAATCTACTCAGATTTTCTATTTGAAGCGATATGTTTTCAAACCCCTTCATTTACCTTGCAAAATATTTCAAAACTCAAGATCTTTTAAAAAATCTTGAAAAATAGAGATCACTCTATAAACTACTTACATAAAAATGATCTAGTCGCCGTTCCCCAAGATCTGAGACATGATCTCGTCATTTTAGTAATTAGAGCATATCTAAAATTTGTCGAGATCTATGAACATAAAATTTATCTAGTCCTTCAGGTATTGAAAGAACGAGGTCTCTGAAAATATACTTAAAACTTCTCAAATAAAAGCTGAAAGAAACTAGGTATTTCGTCTTACTTTTGTAGAGTCTTAATTTGTCCTTTGAAAACATACTATTTAAAACCCGTATTCGATTTACTAATTAATGCTCGGCATGTTTGAGATCTGTTCCCTTTTAAAATGAATGCAGGACCAGCAAAAACGAAAATAAAAGCCTGCTGCTCCCACGACAATCGGGTTTATGTAACCTCAACGGATTCGGATTTTTTATCCGGTAAAGGACTGTCAACTCGGCAGATTTCTAGCTGTTTCTTCGATTCTTTACTTCTCTGCCAAAAATCTGGCAAAAACTAGAAAGAAATTTCATAGAAAACTTAAGGTAATTGTCTATTTAAGTCTAAATTGTCTAATTAGTTTTATTTGTTATATTTTATTGCTTCAAAACAACTTTATATTGTAATGTCTGCTAAAATTTTGGAAGCATGCTCTCAGTAGTCTCTGATGAATATTTAGTGTACATTGTAAACAAACTAAAAGTCTCAAGAAGGGCTCATGCAGCTTTTTCTGAACTTTCGAGTTTTCTACGTTCACCTTGACCTTATTTTCATAACACCTTGATGAATCATAATTATTACTACCCAGAAACTTTTAAAGGCATATAAATCTCACATTAGTCCAAAAATATAATCCGAATTTTTTTGGGAAATGTTTAAGAGGGTTTTCTAAAGATTGTCAACGCGAGGGACAGCAACGAATGGTATTTTTAGTTAATGTTATAATTGTGCGAATACAAAAATCCGAATGTGTTTGATGTATACGTTAATACGAAAGTAAGCTTGACATAAGAAAAAGAAAGTAGAGAAGAATTTTTAGAATTTGTTTCGATACAACAACAGTTAATTATAAAAAATCAACCGATTAGTAACCGCAAACTTAAATAAAAAAAATTAGATTATTTAGAAATATCCATAAAGCGGAAATTCAGAACGAAAAACGATCTTGACACTAGTTATATGTTAAAACTGACTTAGAAAGTGTCAAAAGCTGTAGACCAAGCAGTATGGAAGCGCGAAAAATTGCAATTTCAAAAAAAAAAAAAA